CAGCAGAAGTGCATAAACTTAAATTTAGGATAAGATATGCTGCTGTTAGTTTGAGAAGGCTACGAAACAATGGTGATTGTGTTATGTCTGCAAAAGTTGCATGTTTGATAAATATTCTGACATGTTTGCACTTTTATTTGGAAAAGAAAATGTCCAGGGCTTATTTCGTACAAGAGGGAGGTAAATACTTCACTAGAATAAACGTGACAGTTACACGTACGTGTAGGAAGCGCTTAGGCACTTTTATATGCAGTGAATATAACAGTAAACGGGTTCACAATAGAATCGAAATTCCTAAGGTATTTGTATGGGAGAAGCTGCTTTTTGGTGATTGGATTTTGAATGCGTGGTATTATCACGGTGTATTTCCACTGGTAGTTTCAGTTATATCATCTCAAGTGCCCGGTCTTCTGACGTGGAAGGCTGTGTGATACGGTGAGTTGATAAACGGTGGCGAAGGATGTTTACAACTTCGCAAGGAAAACAGATGAAAAAGAGGAAACTCGAAAAAAGTGAGCCCGAACTTCACCAGGCTTGTTAGGTAGGATGTGCGTATGAGCGTGAATTGATTAGAAGCAGATAACACGGTTAATTCTAATGAGACGTACTTTTGTTTGGTTGATCTTCATCTTCTGTAAGGAAGAGTGGTCGCACGGAAAGCTTTGTCACTCGGTGCACATCATAGCTTCCGTTTATTTTGAAATTAAAAAATGGTTATTGGAGAAGATACAATTAACGAAATATTAATGCAAAATAACGTGTTGCGCGAACCTAGGATGTAGAAGGCGGACACTGGGTCAAATTCGAATAGGACACTTTTGTTTCCTCATCGTGTGATTAAAATGAAACATCAATGGTTACTGTTGGGTTTTTTCTTCAACAGAAGTTGGCTGGATGTTGTGTGGGCTCCAGATATTCAGAAATCGTGTTCACTTCATCATATACAAAGTGGGTTTGGAGAACATTTCTGATGAGGAACAGTTAAAAAGTGCCACAAAATGCATGCCGGACTGCGTCAGTTTAAAAAGCGGCGTGGAGCTGATGTACTAGTGCTTTTTTTGGAACTTGCGTTCGGTTGCAATCCGTCTGTGCACTCATATACGGACACCGGTTGTTCCGATAGCGCGCATTCATTAAAATTTGCAATTGTAATTGCAGTTGGGTCAGCCAGGTTTGAGCAGCACAGATGGTATTGTGTGTGGTTGGTGGGGATGAGATTGATTTTTGGTTGACTTTATCGGTCTGCACTGGAAGTGCGCACTTCTCTTTTCCATGATAAGAGTCATCAAGGGATCAGTGGTGGTTCCATCGCTACCGTGAGAAATCGAGCGGTATTCTGCTCAGTGATCACACGTTTCATAAGGCACTGGCGCCGCAGCGGTTTGCTTGATTTTGTTTGACAACATGTGCAAAAATGTTCTGTCATCATCACAGAGCATTTTATCGGAGTTTCATATTTTCTGAGTTGAGAGACCTCTTTTTAATTATTTTCTACCTGTCTTCGAATGCATCCATTGAGCTGGATATTCAGTGATCAAATCTGTCATTCAAAGATTTCATCTTTCTCTTCAGCTATCCCCATACCTCTTTGGAAGGTGCACTGGGTAGTTGGGGCAAGGTGATATCAAATGAGGCGCAGTACTTTTTTAACTCAATACCTGATAAATTGGAAGATATCGGAATTGAAGAAGTCTCCTCAGTTTCGTTTTATTCACAGTGACAGTTTGCTCAAAAAAAGGTGTTTCTGCCTCGGTCTGGTACTTCACTCTGAGGAAGTTAAGCACTACCGTGGCTCATCTTTGTCCCCGTTAACGTGTTTCGTCTTGTGTTTGGTGCACTGTTTCGGGCTGTTTGGTCAAACCGCATCCACAAGAAACGGACATTTTATGAACAATTGAAAGGTTTATTATGTTCGAAACGGTTCCAACTAGGAATAGGCGCTAAAATGGCAGAAGTTAACTGGTTTTGATGACCCTGTAAAGAGATTTTTGCTATATCACACAGAGGCAGTCGGCTAAAATAACCGGTGGTTCAATGAGAAATCTGCTTATGTTTCTCATCGGATTCGATTCTCATTTGTAGCAACGGTTTGCACTACCAAGCGGGCACAATCGATTGCTTTCTTTTGTTTTGTTTACGGTGACAATGAGAAAAAGTATCCCGCTTTTTCCTCATAATAAAAAACCTATACTACAACAGAATTATTGATGTCAGCAAGTGTGGTGTACCTATAGTTACAATGCTTGCTAACTATTAAAAATAAAATTCCGTTACACTGATATTGGCAACTCATCAGATTTTTACTTGGTAGACAGTTCATGAATGCAAAACAAAGTGCCCGTCATAACAAGCACATTTTCTGCTCATCTAATTCCTCGGTGCAAAACTATACTTTGTCTGGACTTTGTGATTATGCTGACAAATCATCTACGTATTTTTGATCAAGAAAATTTGAATGGAATACAATATGCAAGTACAAAGTACGTTTGCATATATTTAAGTAACCTATTTTTGCTCATCAAATGTTGAAAGAATGACCTGCTGTACAGAATAGAATGGCGCGTTTGGGAACAAATTCCATTTCCCAAAACAAAACAAAATGGGCTATTCGAAATCGAGCAACAATCAGAATTCAGGACAAAGGTGAATGTGTTTTCACTAGTGCTTGCTCTAAAAGATTGTTGGGGACATTTTCAGTTTGGCAAAATGCTTAGTTTCCGAGCATTATAACAAAAAGCCCTTTTTTAAGTAAGAGTTTAACAACTCACAGGTGAAAAAGCTGACACGAAAACCATAAAGGTGTTAGAACATCCAGGAAAATTGTTTGAGATTCGGAACAAGGAAAGGTATCTCTCCTTGTTGTGCAGGACTATTTGAAATATGTTTGATGAAAGTTATTATCTGTTTGCAAATGAAACGGCAAGGAAGTACGTATGCAGATAACATGATTCTATGTATTATCACTTGACCAGTGTTTCGCTTAGCAGCGAAAATATTTGGCGAACCGCAACTGTGTTATTCCGGAATTCCACGGATTCCGTGTAATTGTTGATTCGCTCTGCTAACACTTTCAATTTTGCTCATCTAGAGAACTGTGACATCGAGCGACACAGTTTATATGTGCATACCTTGAAGCAACATGATATCCTACAATGAACGGGGTGTATTACATCGAAATGAGGATAAGTTTGTCATTTTCACGATCAGATCTAATAGATTCAAAGAATGTTTTTGACTCGGTTCGTTTGTTTCGTGTAATGGTTCCAAATAAGAACTTTCCCAACTTCGGTTCACTCTCAACGGAGTGCGTTTTTATGCAAAAGTTTTACTTCGTCCAAAGTGTTCGAATAAACGGCTGGTGTATTAAACTCGAAATAAGTTTGATTTAAGCTACAGGTAGACTGAACGAGAGATATCTAAGAGCCCAGACTAACCACGCACACACATGAATTCACAGGTAGTTCACATACAATTTGATTCGGCCTACTACATAGGTTTGATACGTTATTAGAGGTGATACGTTGCATAAACAGTTTGCATCTATAAGAGGTGTCCAAAATTAGGGGAATTTCATCCGGGTTCACTGTGGTCAACACATCAGTTTTGTGTCGAACAAGAGAGGACGGGAACAAATAGACCTGCATGACAAAATGAACTTTTTCATCCACCATTATGCTCCACGTACAAACACATGCATACAGATGCAATATTACTGTTATTTGGGCTTCCGTGTAAAATCAACAGTCCCGGGTTAGGAATTCGTTTGTCGTCAGTATTGTACCCGACCTTCACCTCTCGAATCGCAAGAACACAAACATGTCGAAAGAGGTGCTCTCTCCTGGTCGCTTAACGGAGTAAATTACACACACACAATTGGTTTGATATTTCACCGGCCTAACCGTTTCACCGTTTAACTAACATATTTACCAACNAACAACGTGACTCCAAATTATGCTCTCAAGTTTGGCAAAAAGACTTCAAGAATAAACATTCAAGTACTGTTTGAAATTCATTTTTTCCGTGGTACTTTGGGTCGTTTGTATTCTAATGGATTTCTTATTTATAGACTAGTTTTGAGATACTTCCTTGGAGTTTTTTATCCGTATTCTACTAGTTTCTGTTTGCCTGTGTTGGATAAAACATCCAGGGCATTCGTCTTTACTCACTGCTGCGTTAAATAAAAATCCCAGTTGAATGCCTACAAAACCCGTGACAGTAAAGTGTTTTTGAACCGTGCACTGTTGTATAAAACCAAGGAGCAAACCAAGAAAAACGTAATACAAATGGAGATAAGCTGAAAACCAGTTTGAAACGAAATAGACTCTGGCCTGCTTTGGCCACTCAGAAATGGATCCCCTGTGCAACGTATGCTCATTCAGTTATTGCCCACAAAACAGTTTTCACTTCTTTTATCGTAGAAGAGAGAAAGTACTTTTATCGAGTCGTTGTAATGCAAAATATCTGTAATTAATAAATTTTATTTGAATCTCTATACGTAGAACATTTAGATTTGTTTATAGCCAAAGTGCGCTCACAGAGGTGCTTAACCGGTTATCCTCACGAGATGCGTGAAATAAATAAAACAATAAATGGATCACCAATACACTGCAGTACACTGTTGTTCACACTAAAGGATGAGAGATTCTGCGCATAGAACTATTGATGGAATCGACGTTTATTACCAGGGTTTTAAGATGTGAATGGATAGCTAGAATAGAGGTTTTTGAATATTTAATCCTAGTTAGTTTATTTTAGAATAAATTCTGGTGTTTGCCAAGTTGTGGTTCGAACTGGGCGATCAAAGCAGATCTATTTCTTTTTTAAATTCTTGTCGACAAAACAAGTTATGTGATATTCAGCAGTGTAACATGAAGCATATTTTCTGAGTATAAGAGGGGTTAATCATCTTGAAAAAGGTGTAGGTTGAAGTAATCAATATTTAACGAAATCTGTTTTAAATGTGAAACAATGATTGTAAATTCGTATCTGTGATTGAACCAATGGCAATGAGACTCAAGCAAGTTGGAACTCCGAAAGAAATCAAAACGGTGAACGAGGTGAATACAAACGTCAGTTTGGGTTTGAAAGATTCTCAATCTCCCCCAGTGTGTTCCGGTCTCATGGTGAACGTATGACTTAGGGTATCGATCATCAACAGCTAATACAACAATTCATTTTTAGTGGGGGAGGGGGAGATAAAGAACATTGATAAAAATGACTAAGACGCAGTTTATCACTAGTTTGCATCCCTTAAGAGTGCCTTACGGAAATATGAAAGGGTCCGTTGAAGAGGGAAAACACAATGTATCCAAAACCGGATTTTACTGGGGTATTTTGTCCAAACACAAGACTCTGAGTCTTACCTTGGGATTGGTGCTTGACTGTTCGTAGAACTCAATTCTGTGGTAAAAAGTAACAGTTTCCTTGAGTGTAAACCATTCTTTTGACGAACTATTGTCGTGCTACGTTTTAGTGAATGAGTAAACAACTGAATAATTTTATAGGCATCCACGTTTAAACCAGTGTCCACATATGCACATCAAAATCATCGTGAAAATTAATTTATACCATAACGTTTACTAAGCAAATCTCGCACAGTGATTCATACACATAAAGAGAAAAAATACCAAAAGAATACATGCTTGATGGTCTGGTGTTGCAAAGATAACTATCTTTGTCTTTTTTAAATCTATCATTTTGATCGGCTGTTCCTTAATGGTACATGCTATTGCACTAATTAGCCTGACCTTCTTGTTTCCGCCGATTGAACGAGTAAAACGCGCCCCGGGAATGCACTTCGGTAATTACCAACAATATTTCTCCAGGGTTTAACCCCGTCGAAGAGGTTCTCTCTTCCCGTACGCTGTATTTATGACATTTGGTTTTTTGAGCTCAAGCAAAGCCACGCGAAAACCTTTTGCCCAAACAACCAGCCCACAATTTCAAAACACAAGAACAAATTACCACCTTTTTTCCCAACTAGTTATGTCTGACGACCTTTAGGAGTTTTGTATTCGTTGGTGGTTATTTTGTGTGAAAGAAAAGTGAAAATGCCTCGAATTAAGAAGTGAATATACCTTAATTAGAATGAAAAAAATTGAGTTCAAAACGTGGTATATACATATGCAAAATAAATACACGAATGAATTAAAATCAGATGAAACTTTGAAGTCATCCAAACACAGAGGAAATCTACATCCCGCATGCAGCTGATTTATCATTTTTGGACACTTTTCAAATAAACTAACATTTTAGCGTGTATTTTGTGCAAATCCCCATCGTGGCCTATATGCAGGGCTCATTGGACCAACATGTTTTAAAAACACGTGGATTAACTTCAGGACAGTTGGACCAACACGTATCCAAGCTGGCATTTGTAAATTATCCCAGATGTTCAACCAACCCACTGTCAAACAAAAACGGATCTGAAAATATAGATTGCAAGTTAATCACTTATCTCTTCTCAGGTAATATCAAAGTTGGCATAGTTTGACGCCAACCATACTCTCGAATTGCTAAAAATTTCAACGGGGAAGATTCGAATGAATGTGAACTGGAAATGGCAAACATGGATCGATCGATATATTTATCCAAAATGAACGTGTGTGTACATTGGTGAAGTTACGCGTGTGTTTAGTGCTGTCGGTGGGTTTGTTATCTCTTTTCATAATGCATGTGAGCGATTTCTCAAATGATATACACTAAAAATGCCACGAATCTTTTCATTTCTAATATAGGTGATTCTGATTACCACGTGACATTTAATCCC